GGCGTGCAGTGGTGTGCTAGCACTGTAGTGTTCCCGGGAGGTTCAGGAAACATGGATCCATATGGGATCGATTACCCGATGAGAGGTAGTATGAATGTGTTATGGCTTGTGAATGCTTTTAGAATTGGATTGATGTTGTTGTTTGATACGTGTATTTACGTAGTATTTACCTACTTCTGTGTATTACTATAATTTTTATTTTATATACGACATGTATACTCACTAAGTGCGTGGTTTAACTCACACTCCTATAACTTCTCATTTTCAAGTACAAGAGAGGGAGACACAGATCAGTCCACTATCACAAGGGTTGAGTTTTGTACAATGTTAATATGATATTTTGTTCGTTATGTCTTTAGTTTTAAACGAGTCAATGATACTGGTTGAGGGACTGTGTAATTATTAGTTGGGTTGTATATTATGTTAATGAGAGATTATTATAGCATGTTAATAGTATATATATTTGTAAACAGACTTAACAGACATACCTTGTGATGTATGTTATGTGAGTGTAAAATTTTATATCTGTATATAACCTTGGAAATAAACAATTAGTACAAGTATTATATATGGTATAGGTTTACCATCATGCTTATTAACTAAGATGATGAGTGGTATTGTTGCACCTATGAGATTAATTAGTGTTTTATTCATTTAGAGTATATATATGTAACCAGGTGTATCAAAAATTTTGTCGCATCTTATCTTTAGGAGACCGGGATGGGGCGTGACACATAAACACTATTTTTTTAATATAAATTTCTCTTGTGAGATAAAAGTAAGTATTACTTTTCAATTTAATTTTATATTTGGTTGAATGTATGTTGTACGAATTTTTATTATTTTTGATGTTTTGGTATTTCTGTTAAATTTAATAATTTTTTATTTAGCGTTTATGTGTGTGTGTGTGTAAAATATGTATGCATTCAAATTGGGATTTTGGTATCTCTTACGATGACTAATTGTCTTATTTCGATTATTTTTCTTGTTTCAATTTTTACAATAGCTATTAGGTTGTTTTGTTTTTGCCCGTCTCATTTGTTTCTTGCTTCATTTTTTTGGAGTAGTCTTGCTTCGTATATATATGTATGCATTCAAACTAATTATCTTATTAAAAGAGTTTGTATAACATATAATAAACTTAGTTTTAATAGGGTGAATATAAAAAAGATGAATTTAATAGTTTGGTAATAAGAAATTAAATATGATAAAAATAGATATTTGAGGAATGAAAATAATCTCATCCTATCCCAAATGATACAGTAAAATCTTATGAATTAAATGTTTAATGGGCGTGAATGGGACTCATTAACCTAACCACCACCACTTATACTAATTTAGGATTTGGTAAGTATCCCCTTTTAATTAGTCGATACGTCACCCGCAGGTGACGATAGACTCCTTCCTTAATGCAATTACACGTGTGTATAATAAAGACAGAGAAGAGACCAAAGTATCTTCTATTCTTTGTCCAAACAGCCGTTCCGAAATCTCTCTTAATTATTCTATTAATTATTCCCTTTAATTATATTAATAATTTATTTAATACTAACAATTCATTTCCATTTTCTCAAATTTCAAATTTCCGCTCCTGCTCTTTCTCGTCTTGTTCTTGCCGTCTTGCTTCATCTTCTGCGCTCTCTCTCTCTCTCTCTCTCTCTCTCTCTCTCTCTGTGTATATATTCAGGGATACAGAGTATGAGTAAGCATATGCATGTATAGAATTTCAATTTGGAAGTAGTGCATGCAATGGAAGGTGATGGAGAGAAGAAGATTAATCTTGAAGTCGAAGACATTCGACTGATAGATATTTCATCGGAGGATGATTTTCTGATTGCTTCTCCGATATTCGATTCTCTTGAAGACCTGCGCCTTTCAGGTGATCTTGAATCTCAGCTTTTCTTTACTTTTCTCTTCGTTTCTTTGCATATATGTAACCGGCGGGTAATTTAAGTTTGATTATGTAAGGTTTATTATGTGCTTGAAGTTGATTGACAAGAACCTCCTTTTTCTTCATCTTGATTGAATTAATGCTATTGGTTTCTCGGAATTGTTTCATTTGGTAGCTGTGATGTTGTTAGATTGCTTGGTAAAGCAATTATGATGGAATTAAAGGGATATTACTCAGTTTGGTTTCCGTTAATTAAGGGTGGGTGGAACCTATGCCAAATTGCCGACCCCAAATGATTGGAACATAAGGTTTAGTTTGGTTTGGAACCTATGCCAATCGCTGGGACAGACCGGGGATTTCCCCGTTACCCTGATATGTGCTTCCATGCCAAATTCAATTTTGGCCTTCATCACTAGTAGACTCTTTGTGTTGTGAAGTAATGACAAATGCTTTTGGTTTGGGTAATTATCCTTTGGAAAGGAATTGGTATAAAATTCTCCTCCAGTTATTGCAGAATGGACTGAATTGGGTTGACTAAGTATAGAATAGATGGGAATTTGGTAAAGAACAGAGTGGAGAGTTGAATAGGAGGAAAGTTGTTTCTTGGGAACTTTGATGCCATTAGTTGTCTATCGGCTATGCATAAGCAAGATGGGCATATGGCCTTGCCATTTTACCTCTCTTCCGGTGTGACTAGGAATGCTCAGTGACAACCTCTCAATTGTCGCCGCCTGGCCTCTCTTGCTACCACGGGTAACTTGAGTTCTGGTTTGGTGGTTCCGTTCAACTTGAGGGGAATTGAAACATGAATAAGGTTTCTCTGTTCATTGTACACATGGTTATATTCTGATTGGGATTGACTAGGACAGCGATTTAACAATGAACTTAAAAATTGAAATGGCAGAGTGAGTTTTTTGTTGTTTTGGTATATACTCCTTTCCCCCTTCTGCTCTTCATACTCTCGATTGTTGCCTAATACAGTCTATGCTTGAAACTCCTCTTTGCAGTGACATTGGAGAATACAAAGCAGCATGAAGGGTACAAGCTGTTTGGGGCTTCCAGTTCTCTGGAAGTAAAAACTGCTGCAGAAGTGCTTCTGCCAAAGGAACAAAAGCATTTATTTTCTGAATCCATGGAGCCAGCAAGACNGTGATCAGGGTCGATGACTCCATTTTGCTGGATCCTCATGTCGCCAATGCAGTGAGTGAGACGCTGCATTTCGAGGCTGACATGGCGGCTCACAGGGGGCGATCGACGAACGTGTTGTTCCGCTCTATCATTCAGAATTCTCTGGTGGTAAGTTCATTTTTTGCTTTGGTTTCTTCTCTCTCGCTTTCCATTTTTGTGATACGCCTTTTTCCCTCCTTTGCAGGCTACCCAACAGATCTCCATAATAGCTGCGCGGNAATCTTTAGAACCTTTCTTTCGAACTACCTTGTTTTATAGAGTTGCAGTTTATTAAATTATGGATACGTTCCTGCAATTTTTAGGTGTTCTGGATCCGAATGAGTTGTCTATCATAAATAAAGGATTCAACACCGCTAAAGCCCATCTATTACCCGGCATTCAAGAAGATATGCAGATGTGGAGATCTGACTCGGAATCCACTTTGGACAGTGATAATTTCTCTTTGGAAAGCTTCGAGCTCGATCTATTTGAAGATATAAGAGCATCCATCCATAAATCCTATAAAAAGTCCAATGTTGCAAGTGCAAGTCTCAAACAGGCAGGCATACAGAATATCCTCTGTAAGTCAACTTCAACTCAGTAATTGTTGCTTGGATGGTAAAAGCCAATTTTACCCGTTGTTTTTGTTTTTGTAAGCAATACAAATGCAGTTCTCTCAAAGAGTAAGTCCTACAACAATTGTTGAAGTGGCTGATTCAAAATTTCNGTGGCGCCCCATCTGCAGGGACCAGTTCCACCCCATCCTCAAGAGTTCTCGGTCGGGGTCAAGTGCGTGACCGGGATCCTCAGGTAGAGGAGGAGAGAAGGGTCAAACATAGGCACGATGGCCTCGGCAGAGGATCCAGGGCATCTTCCGCTCAGCAGCAAAGCGGGAGAGGCCGTGGGTTACCCCCTGCTCCTCCGCAACAGCAGCAACAGCAACAGCAACGACAACAGCAACAACAGCAACAACGACAGCAACAGACTCCCCTTTCCCCTCCGCCGACAGTGGAAGCCGCAGAGTGGAATCCCCGAGCCACCGATCATATGAACCGAGTGATCAGGGTCGATGACTCCATTTTGCTGGATCCAAATGTCGCCAATGCAGTGAGTGAGATGCTGCATTTCGAGGCCGACATGGCGGCTCACAGGGGGCGATCAACGAACGNTGCGCAAAAGTTTAGCTTGGGATAGTGCCTTCTTCACTAGTGCAGGTACTCATTTATGTTCAAAAGCAACATAAAATCTTTAGAACCTTTCTTTCGAACTACCTTGTTTTATAGAGTTGCAGTTTATTAAATTATGGATACGTTCCTGCAATTTTTAGGTGTTCTGGATCCGAATGAGTTGTCTATCATAAATAAAGGATTCAACACCGCTAAAGCCCATCTATTACCCGGCATTCAAGAAGATATGCAGATGTGGAGATCTGACTCGGAATCCACTTTGGACAGTGATAATTTCTCTTTGGAAAGCTTCGAGCTCGATCTATTTGAAGATATAAGAGCATCCATCCATAAATCCTATAAAAAGTCCAATGTTGCAAGTGCAAGTCTCAAACAGGCAGGCATACAGAATATCCTCTGTAAGTCAACTTCAACTCAGTAATTGTTGCTTGGATGGTAAAAGCCAATTTTACCCGTTGTTTTTGTTTTTGTAAGCAATACAAATGCAGTTCTCTCAAAGAGTAAGTCCTACAACAATTGTTGAAGTGGCTGATTCAAAATTTCAATTACTTCTTGGTTCATAGTCTTTTGGATGTGTATCACGAGTCCTACACAGGACTGTTAGGCTTACTTGGATAGAGTATCATATTTTATACCGCTGGCACCTTGTACGTATTGCTCGTATCCGTTTCTCATAAACTGCTACTTAATGACTTGGTTGCTTCTTTTCAGCCTCCAAGAAAGCTGATGTTGGATATCAAAACAAGGTATGCACCAGTGAAAGTCATCTTTCGTTGTAACTGTGTGGATATTTGCTGAAGAATTAAGCCCTGTTCTTTAAAAATTTCAGTTGAAATCCATACCAGCTTCCAAAATGCAAGGCAGCAAATTGCAAGGATCAGTTAAAATAAAAAAGGAGGCCTCCATTCACCGACAAATACCACCACAGGCATGTGTCAGTAGAGCGGAATGAAATGATCACTTTTATGTTTTTGCATCCACTGCTTAACCTTGCATGATCTCTCTGCCTAATTTAAATGGCCACATAGCTGATTATAAATTACATGTTTGAATAATGGCTTACCATCAAGAAGGTACACTGCCCCATTAAGATGGTCTTGCATGATTCGTTTGAGCACTATATGTTAGAAATCGAATAGATCAATGGGAAAACTCTGTGATATGATATAGCTGGCTTGATTTTGTTTATGACCAATAATGCAGACTACCAGGAGTGGAGAATCTGATTCGTTGTCCCTTAAGCCACCCAAGACGGGCCAAATGAACCCCGTATCATCGGCAGGACAAACAAATAGGTCTTCAATGGGGGAGTATCATGTTAAAAGGGAAAATAAATCCACAAATAGAGGGTCTGGTAAGAACTGCTGGTTAAGGATTGATTTATAAGCTACTTTCTTCTGCTTCTAAGTAGAAACTGCAAATATTACAGGCCAAGGCTCGATGGTGTCCAAAAAATCTGGTTTGGGCTATTCACGTGGTCCTACTACTAGCTCTACACCACCCCATAAGTCATCTTCTTTAGTTTCACTCTTTGCATCCAAGGATTCAGTAGATTCATGTTCCTCAGGTGACAGATCCGCTGATGCTTCATCTTCTAAGTCTTTCTCAAACTTCCTGAGAAGAAAAACGTGTTCCAGATACAGTAAACTGTCTCCTGGTTCAACCTTCAGCACCCCTCTCACACAGTCAGTCAGAACCAAAAGTGGCTTGAAAAATTCTACTTCTTCAATCACTTCATCATCAATGACAAACCATTCCTATACGATCTCACCTGCTAGCTCCTTTGATGGATGGTCCTTAGAATCATCATCATCAGCTTCTGCTGCCAAACAGGGACCTCATAACTTGGATGCCAGTCTTGATTCTACTCTCACAGGCGTCTCAGTAGGAACTGATGCCACTCAAGCAAAAGATTTGCAGAGTCCTTCACCTGATCTATTTTCGGTTTTTCAAGAAATTCAGGAAACTAGTTTGCCAAGTCAATGTCCACACAAAACTTTTAGAGCAACTACTCCTGTTCCTCTTGCATCATCAGAGAACTTCATACCTTCAGGTCTTCAAATGCCATCACCAAAAATGGGGTTTTTTGATGAGGTTAGTTTTAGTTCGTTATGGTGATGATGGTATATGTTGGTAGTCTCATGCCCGCTATAGGTGTATTTGTTCTGGTGAAGCTAGTATTTAACCGTATGAGGTTTCTCTGGTTGCCAGGAGAAATCTATGCTGCCAAAGGTAAGAGGAAGTCTGCAATTTCAATTTAGAGCACAGAATCCTGTAAATAATATTGATGGTGCTGCTAGTAGAAAAGGGCCANCTCTTCTTGAAATAAATCATGAGTATTTTTTCCTTTTTTTGCGTACAGTAGTGTTTTGTTTTTTTTTTTTTTTGGAACTGTCTTCGGGGCTGCTCGCCCATTCAAGAGGCCCGCTCTTGTGTTTGCTTCGGGGACAGGAGTCCTTGAACTCTGTCCCCAGGGCCTTGCCCTTCCAGGAGGCTTGCTCCTGTNTTCGGGGCTGCTCGCCCATTCAAGAGGCACGCTCTTGTGTTTGCTTCGGGAACAGGAGCCCTTAAACTCTGTCCCTAGGGCCTTGCCCTTCCAGGAGGCTTGCTCGTGTATATGTTTCGGGGACAGGAGCCCTTGAACTCTGTCCCCAGGACCTTGCCCTTCCAGGAGGCTTGCTCCTGTATTTGCTTC